AATGAAAATGAGCAATCGAAAAAATTGTATTTCTTACCCGTCGACCGAGCCGTGATCCCTGATAATGGCAGCCGCTATTTCTCTCTTGAGGCCACCGTGAAACCAAGGTTGGAGAACGTGTATACCACCATCGAGACCATGGAGCCTTACCATCGCACAGCCTGATGGTGTACGCGAGAACGGCCTCCATCTTCGTCGCCAGATTATACCTTCGCTCTCGGCTATGTCTTTTGCTTCCTTTGGATCTTCTACTATCCTTCCGACGCTACCGGTAAAGTCCATCGCAACACGGGATCGTACCGATTCCTAAAATGATAGAATAAAAATGAACTCGATTATTTGTTTTTTTTTTTTTCCTTTTTTTTTATTTAACATATATTTATTTATTATATATATATATTCTTTTTTTTTGAACATATATTTCCGATATAATTTATTTTTATTATAAAAAAAAATTTCTAACACACATATATATATATATGTATATTAAAAATATTAAATTATATTAATTAAAAATATTTATTATATAAGTATATTAAACATAGGTTAAAAAAAAAGGTAGTGATAATTAAATCTTTCCTTTTCTTTGTTTTTTTCTTTTTTTTATTTTTTTCAATTTCATTATAATTTCCATTTCTTATTTTTATTTTTTTTTTTATACGTGCTGTATTTCTGACGTATATAAATATATCTGTATATATATATATATATATATATATATATATACATGAAAAAAAAAAAAACGCTTTAGAATCGTTGAATAATTTTAAAAGGTCAGGAACACGTACGTTTACCGACATAATTAATAATAATTTGTATAGAACAATATATGAACTTTCTGTTATTGTAGAAAAAAATTAAAATGAATTTGACGTAGTCGCTGTAATATGACTTAGGCTCTACTTTAACGATAGAAATGATTTCTTCTCCTTTAGAGAGAAAGAGAAGGCAGTTAAATCGACGAACGTACGACACGGAAGACGTACATACTTCGACTACGCCTACGTTCGTAAGATTATTCGACGAGAGACTGAAAGAGAAAGAATAAGAAGAAAAAAAAGAGAGAGAGAAAGAGATAGAAAGCGAAAGAGAGAGAGAGAGAGAGAGAGAGAAAGAGATAGAGCGAGAGAGAGAGAGAGAGAAAGAGATAGAGCGAGAGAGAGAGAGAGAGAGAGAGAGAAAGAGAGAGAACGTTTAAAACGTATTTAACGAAACGTCGCTGCTAGTAAACGAAGAAGTTTACGAAGGAGAGATATCTTTTCGTTTGAAAACTTATTGTGAAGGAAGAAGAAGAAGAAGAAGAAGAAGAAGAAGAAGAAGAAGAAGAAGGCCTCCTATACTTTCTTTTACGAGGCATCGCACGTGAATACATAATTTATTCGTCGTAGCTCTTATTATGGGTATTACCATCTTTCTTTTAAAAATAAAATACATTAATTTAAGAGTTCTACCTAATAAGTTTTTGCCCAACGTTTCGATCTCTTAAAGATTATTTTCAACGCAAATAACGATTGTGAATTTTCTTTCTTTCCTTCTTCGCTTTGTTTTTTCTGCGTGTTCTTTTTTTTTCTCTCCCCCACCCCACCCCACCCCCCACCGACGCCTCCCTACACCCTCCTTTTTTTCTCCTTTCATTGTATTTTTCTTTCTCGTATAGCTACGTTGATTTAAAAGAGAGATAAAAAAAAAAAAAGAAAAAAGAAAAAGAAAAATAAGTGAAATAAAAAGAAGAAGAAGAAAAAAGGAAAAGACAAAAAAAAAAAAAAAAAAAAAAAGAAGAAGAGGAAGAAAAAGAAAACCAGGTCAAATCGTTTTACGGTCAAATAAATTCTTAACGGTTTAGTATCTCTCTCTCTCTCTCTCTCTCTCTCTCTCTCTCTCTCTCTTTTTTTTTTCACTCATTTTAAATCGACATTTATATACGAGGATGATCCGAAATAACTTGCATTAAGTTAAGAAAACTCGTATCTCCAATGAAATTATATTAACTTATTTTTATAATTATATATCACTATTTCTTCTCCTTTTTCTTTTTTTTTTTTCTTTTTTTTTTCTTTTGCTTTTCTTTTCTAATTAATAAGTGATAAAAATAAAAGGAGTATATTTTGTAACACGTTAATCATCGAAATGATCTTCGATCGATACTCAAGAAAATAATTTTGTTTACTCAACGGAGTTTCGTATATTATCGTAAAGAATTAACTTTTGATCTCAACGTTTTACGTATTTTATTTTATTATATATATATATATATATATATATATATATATGTTGTTTTTTTTTGAAGCAAGAAAAAAAAAAGAAAAAAATTTCCCAATTCAAAGGACGTTATAATTGGACAACTCAAAAGATTAAAAAAAAAAAAAAAAAAAAAAAAAGAAAAAAAAGAAAAAAAGAAAAGAAAAGAACGCTTCGATGTTTTAAGTATAATCGTGGCAATAAAAAAATGTGCATTCTATTTGGCATGCTTTTACATTCGATCGTAAAAAGATCGATCATTTCCGTTTCTATAATTAGATGCGTCAAAATTATACTTTTTTATTTGTTTTATCAAAAAAAAAAAAAAAAAAAATAAGAAAAAAATAAGAAAAATGTAAAATTCGTTTGATAATAATCGAAGCTTTACAATTACGACGATTATAAGTCGTTCGTGTTTATAAAAGTCCCTAGTTATTTTCTGATATTCCCTATATAATGATTTCATTGAAAATATTTAATAATATTTATCGTCTGACCACAAAAATCTTTATCCATCTATAAACCTATCTATATAAGTACTTTATATATATATATATATATATATATATATACACGCATAGACATATACATACACACGGACAGATATATTCATGTGATAGAGAGAACGCGAAATAGCATAGAAGAGATTTAACATTTGCTCTTCTTTCTTTTCTCAATTCTTTATGATTCCGCGACGGATAAATACGAGAAGTAACGGCAGAAGCTACGCCGCATGTTTGCGCGAGTGCGCGCGCGCGCGCGTTTTGCTCCATGAAACGATCGTAAATTATGAGCACGTTTGTGGAAGCTAAGCAACGATCGCGAAACGACAATTTATCGGTCCTCTTCTGGCAATAACTCTGCGCCCGTAGATTTTCTTTTTATTTTTCCTAGACGCATGACCGACGCCATAGTCGTCGTAGTCGTCGTAGTCGTCGTAGTCGTCGTAGTCGTCGTAGTTGTTGAATAGTCGTCGTAGTCGTCGTAGTCGTCGTAGTCGTCGTAGTCGTCGTCGCTACGACGGTGTTCCCGTTCCCGTTGATTCCATGATCGCTAGACGGCAGAGGACCGTTATCATCATTATCATTATTATTATTATTATCATCATCATCATCATCATCATCATCATCATTGCTACATCACTTAGAAGAAGATACCGTAGTTTTCTACGGATCTAGCGCATCGATCGATTCTAAGAGATCCATTTCCAACTACCTTTTCTTGCTTGCTTATCTTTTATTATACACCGTACACATTATAAGATATTTTATGTAGTATATTTTTGATCTATATCAAACGATCGTGTTTATATGAAATAAATAAATTCTCATTTATATCGTATCGTAACGTTAACATTTCAAATATAATGGTAATTCGTAATGGTGCTTCGCAATTTTCGAATGAAAGAATAGAGGAAGGATGAGAAGGATGAAGAAAGAAAATAAAAAGAGATAAAAGAGGAAAGAAAAGAAAAAAACGAGAACAAATATACGTCGACTGTGCAATTTAAATTCCTATAACTGTCCTTTTCTCTCCCGTCTCTTTTTTCCCCCCATAGTATATTTTCTATTTACTTAATCAAAAAAAAAAAAAATAAAAAAATAAAAAAATAAAAAAATAAAAAAATAAAAAAATAAAAAAGAGAAAAATCACATCGATATTCTTATAAAATATGTATCATACCTTTTCCAATCGCGTGATATCATATATTACACATATATATATATATATTTTTTTTTTTTCAGATAAGAGAAATACAAGAAACGATAAATAAATCGATTGATGTGGAATAAAAAAAAAAGAAAGAGAGAAAGAGAGAGAGAGAGAGAGAGAGAGAGGGAGGAAAGAGATATATGGAGATATATACAAAAATGAATGATTCATAATCGAGATCTTTTATAACAAATAATTAATACCTAAGTACATAATAATAAGTGAAGTATGAGTAGCTTAAAAAAAAAAAAAAACAAAAAAACAAAAAAAGAACAAAAAAAGAACAAAAAAGAAAACAAGAACAAAAAAAGAAAAGAAGAAAGAGGAAAAAATTATCGAAACAATTATACATAAGGAAGATTGTATAATAACGAACAAAAAAAAGAAAAAAGATAAAAAAAAATAAAAAAAAAAAAAAAAAGTAAAAAAAAAAAAAATAAAAAATAAAACGTTATTAACGATTGTAGACTTTTTTTCCTTCTTCTCCTTCTTCATCTTTTTTCATAGATCAGCAAGGTGAGAAACAAATAAAAAAAAAACAGAAAAAAGAGTTAATTAGAAACATTTAAATAGATTCTCTCCCTTCACCCATCTCCTACACCCCCCCCCTCTCTCTCTCTTTCTATCTCTCTCTCTGTGTCTCTCTAAAGAGACGTTCACTTAGATAGAAGGCATGTGCACCTCTATCTATGTATTTCACAAGGAATGGGTGTTCCGACCTCGCCTTCCTATCGCAACGCAACATAGAGCAGACAACAGTTCTAACACCGGTGTTAGTTTTTTCTCAGCGGATTCTCTTTCTCCCTCTTTTTATCTCTCTCTTTCTCTCTCTCTCTCTCTCTCTCTCTCTCTCTCTCTCTCTGTCTCTCTCTCTCTCTCTCTGTCTCTCCCTCTCTTTTTTCGCACAATCTCTCCTCAAAGCCGACCAGATAGAAGGAAAATCGTAATCAATCTCTCTCGGTTTCTCTTTCGCGGCACGTTACGACGCGTACCCACGCACTTTGGGCGCGGCTCGAATGCTCTATTGAGAAAGAGTAAGATGAAAAGAGAAAGAGAGAGAGAGAGAGAGAGAGAGAGAAAGAAAAGCGTAGTCGTCGAAGCTCGGAAAAGAGGCACAAGCCTCTCTCTCTCTCCTTCCTCTCTCTTCTCTCTCTCTCTCTCTCTCTCTCTCTCTCTCTCTCTCTCTCCCTCTCTCTTGTGCGTCGTTTTATTGCTTTGTAAATCCTCCTTTCGTTTATGCTCCTCAAGTTATTACGAGTCGTTAAAACGCATTCGCTGTTGCAAAGTCAGTGACCATGGCGTAACGAGGCTATCTCTCTCTCTCTCTCTCTCTCTCTCTCTCTGTCTTTCTCTAG